GGTTTTCGGATAAGAATGATGGATTTGATCATATCTTCAGTCAATAACGGCCTAACCATGTTTGTGGATGATATCAAGTCAGTTGGGAACCCCTAGAACAGATAAATCCTGAGAAAACCGCTCAAAACCGTCAAAAACACGTCCGGGGGTCGAAACAGCGCGACGGGTGAATCCGACCCGTGGGGGGCGTGGGTCGGTTGACTCCGACCAGCGCGGGTGCGGGTCGGATTCGTCCGACCTGCGCAGGCGCGGGAAGTTTTGCTTTTCAATGAACTTTTTGGTGTTTTTCTGACTTTTCCGGGACTTGTATTTTCCACCGTTTTGCGTATTTGGTCGTCTTGTTGACTTGCACGAGTCGTTTATGAGTATTTCATCGTTTCGTTAGCTTGTACTCTTCCTCCCGCGGATCACTTGATTGATGTGCGCATGTTGACTGACGTGCGCGCGTTGACTGACGTGCGCGCGTTGACTGACGTGCACGCGTTGACTGACGTGCGCGCATTGACTGACGAGCACGCGGGCCACATGAGGGTGGTTTGAGCGAACGGGACGCTTGGTTTGCCATTCTGGTGGCTGACGAGCGTGTGGGCCACTTGGCGTTTGTCGTTGTGGTGATTCGTTGCCGCGTCATCAACGGTTCGCCGATTCGCTTCATGCGCTTGTCGGCATCGGATAATCCTCTTTGACTCGGATAATCCTCTTCGACTTGGATAATGATGTTCATCGCCTTCTCTTTGTCTCGATCTGTATTCGGGGACCTATACGTAATTTTTGACTCCTACAGTAATCAATAAACTTCTTGCCTATATTCTAGCACTAGAGAAAAAATAAAAGTAGCAAATATCTCTCACATAGAAATACATTTCTTGAGTCTTGATATTGTTTTTGAGTTGATGAAGCTTCTTATTGCATATGGTGTTCTTGATAAACATTGCTTCATCGCTTTGCCTCCATCTCCTCTAGATATCGTCGTTATAGCTTATATTCCATCCAATCCTCCATCTATGGTGCTAATGAATTGTAATCTATAATATAGCTCAATACACAATTAGCACTAATAATGGTGTTTGTAAATCATCATCAAAATAAATGACCTAACAATATCAAAGTTACACACAGCCATGACGTTGAAAGTGGGAATGTCTTTTCTCCCTCTATAACACAATTGATCTGCCTCGGGAATACATGCTGCCACATGAGTGTCATCAATGCATCCAATACAATCCTATAATTTAAACTTCATCATTATAATAATGGTATGTATCAAAATTTACAAAATAAGTATCAATTACAATAATGTTTACCTTAAAATAAGGCATGTATCTTGTATCATTGGCGATTTGAGGTAGTATAAATTAAAAGTTCCAATCCTTTGGTTGTATAACATCTCGTGCTAGACCCATATAACCTTTATTTATACCACAAATCACTTCTAAAACTTGGGTAATGGTTCTACTAATAGTCTCACTAGAACGTTGAAATCGCTCACCAACATCTCTATTAGAGAGATCTAACGCAATAGTATAAACAAATATACCCACTTTTTCAACCACTGTCATGTTCCTACTAGGTGTTAATCCATATTTGGATTGTAACTCTTCACATAGTTGCAAAAATACTCTTGATTCCATTCTAAAGGCATTCACACATCGAATAGGATGTCCATAAAGAATTTCTCTCTTCCAATATTCCCCTCTTTGATGTGACGTCATGCATGGTTCTTTGTAAATGTATTTGTAGTAATATGTAGCTATAACACTTGTTGTACATACAGTCATAAGCCAAAATATTCTCTGCTTTTTCTTTCTCCTTTATTTCATATCCATAATACACCTAAACAGTGATTAGTTTAAAAAAATGTAGATAAGTGTAAACAAGATACAATCCAAATTAAACACAACCACAAAGTTTAACAGTCCATACAACCATAAACTTAAGAATTCATACAACCAAATTAAACACAACTTCAACACTTAATAAAACACATACAACGGCTGAAATATCTAAAATTACCACACTTAATTAAACAAACAACTTCAACACTTAATAAAACACATACAACGGCTGAAATATCTAAAATTACCACACTTAATTAAACAAATACATAATAGTTCAAACGTTTACTTGGCAACGGCTGAAATATCTAAAATTACCACACTTAATTAAACAAATACATAATAGTTCAAACGTTTACTTGGCCTTCATATCATACATGAACTTTAACCAAGCCAACCTAGAAGCATCATCCTCCATAGCAAAGGAAAAATCCCTTCTCATAGCATCCTCAAGCAAATAAACAGCATAACACCACGAAGCACTACCCTTTTCCAAACCATCCATATTGTTAAGAACATTCATTACCATTACAGCACAATTCACTGGTGTTTGAGTATTTGTCACGCTATCAGGAGTACTACAATCTGACTCAAGTGCTTGGGCTGCACAACCACAAAATGCAACCATGTTTCAAGATGATAGTTCATCATTGCTAATCCCGTAGATTGTCTCCTTTTATGCTTCATTGGCACAGAATTCACTGTTTTTGTGGTAGTTTTTTTGTGGTTCTTTAGAAGTCCTCCTATCACAAGTTGGTACTTGGGTAACACCTTGGCTTTGATTAGGTTGTTGTTTATCGGCATTAAGCACTTCATTTAAAAACTCATGCCAAAAAGTACCCTCACTTCTTTCTAGGTTTTCCAAGAGAGATGAGTATTGACTATATTCTGAGTAAACTTGATCTTGAGTATCCTCATACGCACCAAGTATTCTCTCTTCACTATTGGTTTTCTCTTCTTCAACACCTACTTGAACCCCCTCAACATTTCCAGATTGTACATCTCTCTTCACTATTGGTTTTCTCTTCTTCAACACCTACTTGAACCCCCTCAACATTTCCAGATTGTACATCATTCACAACCACACTTGAAGGATTCATGCCGGGAGTAACGCATTCTAACCCCGTTAGCTACTACATCTGAGTATAGTTGATCCCGTAGCTCTTCAATGGCGCGTGGTACCCCTTTGTTACGAAATTTTTTAGCTTCAGGTTTCTCCTACACAATATCATATACTATTAAATCAAATAAAATATTATCTTTTCTTTAATTTACCAATTATGACTATGTGAGAAAACAACTAACCTTGATTTTTATCTCCCACCACTCATTGGAACAATCAAGCTTTCCAGTTATGTAATCCCAACCTAGGCCAGTTTCAGATTGCTTCAAACCTTTCCAAATTCTCCAATCTCTCTTCATTTGATCATACTTGTTTTTTAAACTTCTATAGTTATTGACTTTCCGATTAGTTCTTGCTTCAAAGTCTTTGGCAATGTCTCACCATTTGAATAGTTGATTGCGGCCATTCTAGCAATGAATGCCAAACACAGCTCCAACAATACAATCGTAAAATCATTTGTCCAGTTAAATATCTTTCCCTCCACATCATCAGTACCTTTGTTTTTTTGATTGTCCACATCATCATTACTTGATTCCATCTATAATATAGAAAAAAAACACATTATAAATCTACTTCAAGGTTTTTAGGAATTAAAAGAAAATGTCGACAATTTGTTCTATTTCATTTGAAACAAACACCAAAAAAATAGAACTGAAGCAACGTTTCTAATCATAGTTCTATAAATAATGGGATGGACAGAACCGAGAACAGAGAAATAGGATGGACAGAACCGAGATCAGAGAAGCCCCAAACCCAGCCTAGAATTCCCATTAAACAAACAGCTTAGAATTCCCATTAAACAATCTTCACGAAATTGGCAAAAACAAATCAGAACCATAATGGCTATCAAATCGAAACAGAAGAGAAAAAAATTGATACAGTTAAAATAGTAGACAAAATTTTACAAAATTAGAACCATAAACAGAATCCGAAAAAAATAAAAAAAGAAAAAGATTTTGGGTACTTACCTTGATATGATGGGTTGGACAAACAAAGAAAGTCCAATGAGAGGGTCGAAACTACCTTGACAATAGCATTCAATGGAGATGGAAGAGAAACATGCTCGGTAGAAGCAGAAGGGGTGTCAGGCGTGAAATGAAAAAGAGCTAGGGTTTTTTGGGTGGGGTAGTAGCTTTCATTTGCCCTAATTATTAGGGGCAAAAACGAAAGGAAAAAAAATTGACAGATCCTTTCCAAAGATACTAGTTGATGTACCTTTCTAAAAGCTACTTGCAAAAGACACAATCTTTAAAATAATCCCCTCCTATTTTTTATCACCAAACAGTTCTATTAGCTTATTGACCAAGTCTCATTTTCCTCCCAAGTCTTGTTTTCCTCGTTGTGGGCTGCATAGGAGTTAAAATGATCAGGGTTAAATTTGACTTGCACGACTTCATGATGATGACGTGGGAAATGGCAGCAGAATCCTCGGCTAATGTCAGATTCGTACAAGAGCTTGAATATTTGACACCTTCAATTCTGTAACGAACGTGGTTTGGTCAATTCTGTAGCTTGCAATTACAAAAAGACGGACTTGCCTGCAGCTATAATTGTTTATTTGCTATTAAAGAGATTCGTTCTGTAAAAATAATTTGACGGCAAGTGGTTTCTACAACCCTCATTTTCATAATTTTATTAAATGCAAAATAATAATAATAATAATAATAATAATAATTCAAATTGCATCAAAACAAATAACTAAAATCACGATTATAATTGTAATTACTTGCCTAGGAAACAATTTTATTGCCAGATTTGATCAGTTCAGAGGGAATATTTCCAGCAGCTGACGAAAACCTCGTTGCTTCTTGTAGCAACTGCCATCAAATTTTAGTAGCTGCAGACCGCAGGAGTTTCTCTTAAATTCATGTTGTTCGCACCGATAACCTTTAAACCAAAACAAGCTACACTGTATAATCAGCAACGACTGAATAACGCATGAACATATTCGTAAAATTAACAGTTGTTTTCTGACTTGTATCTAAATTACAACAACTTTAAACTCAGCTGTTGCTTACCCCCCCCCCCCCCGCCCCAAAAAAAGAAGGCTGTGTATATTTCAAAATACATGCCCGTAGCCACTTATTTAAAACAGTCTCATTTTCACCAAGTCTGCTATTCCTTTTACAGTAATTTGGATGCAGCAAGTAACATGGCACAAACAGTAATTTGGAGCAGCATATATCACAAGGTTGAGCACACTACAGGCAGATCAAATAACTACATTCATTTGGTTCCATAATAGAAGACCTGTTCAAATCAGCAGTGGGTTAGATGGCTAGAGTTTCATTAAGGATAAAATAGTGAACAGATATATGGCATCACGAAACTGTACACATGCGCACAAACATTTATCGGCCATTCAAAAACTCCCAATAAGCAAAGAAGATGAGACAAGTAATTATTCAAACTAAGTAATTATTCTAACAGAAAGCATCACATAGACCAATTATAGATTTAAATTGAAGAAATTAAACAAAAAAGACAAGCAAGTAAGGGTAACATAGACGAGGAAAACGCTCATCATTATGCTCCCAGACCAGCTAAAGAAGCTAGATAACAGCCAGTGTATAAAATTCTCTGGTAGTGAACCCTTTAAATTGAAGAAGGTCATGCCTGTTAGATAACTAGCTTATCCAAAACCTTGGTCTAGTGTATCTTTGGGCTACATCGAGCAATATTAATAATCCTTTTAATGAAAGTACACCTCAGACCATTTTTCCTCACGTGGTTGCCCACAGTTTTCAGATGAGAAAAACACATGCAGTAAAAACTTCAACAATGAACTTTTATGATGGATATATTCAGAGGTCTTGCAAAAGAAATTTCAGAATGACGATGACAGACAAAAAAAGTAATAAACAAAGAAAAAAAATAAAAGATATGCTGTGTCAACTGTATGGTTAGTTATGATGTCAGCTGTATGGTTAGTTATGATGTCAGGTGTTACATTTGTATTGTTAGGTAAGGTCACCTTACGATAATCATGTCGCTTGTATGTATATTTGGCTTATGCCACAATAGAACCTGCAATGGATTTAACAACTCCTCAAGAGCAGTTCTAAAAAGAATTCCCTGAAACGTATTTCCCAGTTCAACAGTTAAAATATTCCTTAGCTTCTGAGGATAAAAATTTATGGAACAGAAATTATTCCCCATATATTATCAATAGATTAAACGAAGTTATTTGGCAAAATTAAAAGAGAATGAAAAAAAACAGAGTTACAAGTTTTCATTCAAAAAAAAAAAAAAACAGAGAGTTAAAAGTCAATTACCTTAATTTCCTTGTTAGAGAATCCAGCAAAGAGCTTTCCCCGCCAAGAAATTAAGGAAGCTATGACAGAATCACAGGTAATAGAAGCAACAGGTTTGATGTCTATCTGTAATTCATTCTCTGTCAGCTCCTGCAATGTGCAATCAAGTTGGATTTCTATTATTGAAACATCTACAAGAAGTTGGTAGGATTTATCTTGAAATTACTTGAAACGCAAAGACCAAAATACTATGCTAGATGGCCACAAACATAGCCTTTTTTTTAAGAATTGTCACAATATGATACACGAAGATGCAACAGCATACCTGTACATTGATGGATCTATTCCATCCTCCAGTAAACAGCCACTGCATATTCATGTGCACTGCAAGTACTGGACCATCCTGAATTTGCACTGATCTCACAAAAGCATCATCCTTCCAGATCTGACAAAGAAAATAGTTCAATCTTGAGGGAAAGTGTTCTTAACTAATAAAAATATGAATAGCAAGAAGAAAGTTCATAATGATTACTAAAGCATGGAATGTTATGTCCTCATAGTCTACACTGATCAAACTATCCAAAGACAGTAATAACTAATCGGACCTTAAAGAACATATTTTAACAGAGTAGTATTCTCAAGTTGAGTAATGAAGTATCTTTTACGAAGAGTTTAAAATGGAAAAGGATTCTAATTAATATTTCCTAAAGAAAAAAATAAACAACCAGTTTTTTTACCAAGTGGATTTGGTCTGAGTTTCAGGAACCTATGGATACAGGACCAAGAGGAAGAAACATAGACGAAATCCTAGCTTTTAAAGCTAGCAAGTTAAATATGGTGTCATTATAACTCGTAGTTTACACGCACGCGCACACACACACATATTTGTGTGTTGACTATACATCTTTAATTAGTTAAATCATTTGATTAGCTACCTAAATAGATCAACTAATTAAATCCAACACTTTATTCATGCCTTGCTCTTACGTGCATGTGCTAGATTATTTAATAGAATTGTTAAGTTAGGTGAACATCTGTTCAATTGTTCATTAATCACTCACATTCATCTAACCTCATCCTTTATTAGGCATTCATTTCTCTCCCATATCTATAATTCTTTATCCCTCTCCTTCCTATTCACTTCCTTACCCATTCCCATCAACGAAGATCCTCCTTGCTATGTTTCTTTCCCCTTTCCTTTTGAACCTGGCCAAATCCACGATAATTGAGCCACCTCACTCTCCTTGTTTTGCTACCAGTCATCACCAGACCCTTTGTTTGCAACTGTTAAGGTAATTCACCGACCAACAGTCACTTTGCTTTCATCCTCTCTCCTTCTCGACAATCACCACCACTTCCACCATTCTCTCACTTCAGATTTAGCCGCTTTCTGGAAGTTCCATGCAATTTTCACTATTTCTGCTTAAAACTCCATCCATAGAGTTTGGATGGGGCCGGAAAGCTGGACAATCAAAAAGTAGGGTTAGCGAGGAACCAACAGTACCTAATTCGATGGTATTTCCTAATATCGATAGATTCAGGAAGGCCAAAATGTATCATGTATGCAGGGTTCTGGTAGCATGGCCAACCAGTAAAGAAAAAAATAGAACAGAAACTGTACATGCCATCAATCCCACCCACCCACCCACCCCTCCCTCTTCCCAAAAAACGATCAATTTTGTTGATAACCCTCAACTATCCCTTCATAAAGCTGAAAACATTGTGCACCAACGAACTTCATGATTTTATTCTTGTAAGGAGAAAGAAAGGATTTTCTTTAGGTAGTTTTTCTTGTGTATGATTTTCTTTAGGTAGTTTTTCTTGCGTATGCAGTTGGAGATTGGATTTCTGCAAAAATTTATCACATATCGGTTTTGATCAGTTTTTCCTGGTATATCGAGTGTAAATATGATAAAGTAGTGGATTTTTCGTGGGCTAGAAATTGCCCCAATTTTCTAAAATTTACATTCTAAGTGAACTAGTTTGTGTTTGGAGACAAAAAACTTTTTTTTTTCCATACAAGACCCACATGCACTAAACAAAAACAGTGCTATCTTATTCTATTCCACATCTGCTTATCGTGTAACCCTAATTCTCTCCACTTCCACTATTTTCTCACCCAAATCGCTCGCAAATTTCTCACTCGAAGAACTCTATCAACAACCTCTCTCAAAGCTCCTCAGTTCTCAATTGAAGACCCTCAAACCTTGACCGTCAAAGACCCTAAACATTTGTTACATACATTTTGGTATGTTTACATTTCATTAAATGTACTTAGATTACATTTTGGGACATTATATAATGTATGCTCACCATCCGATATGACACTCCGATTTTTACTACTTATCCTCGATATATCTCTGATAACTGCAATCTGTATGAATTTTGTCCATCCGATATATTTCTGATAATCGATGTTTAAAACCTTGGTTGTACTAGTGGCATAATTTTGAGATTCAATGTGAAAATCTTGTTTCCTGAATCTCACTATTGATCATCTCTAGAACATGGGTTTGGTTGGTTCCATATTGCAAATTATGAAAAAGAAATGTAAGAGTGACAAAAATTAAATATAGTGATCTGATATAGTTATACAGGATTTCCAAGAGAATGCACTACATAATTTTGGATTATGGTATGCTTGTCAAAGTGGAATTTCATAGTAAACTGACGATAATATACTATATATACTATGATATATATATATATGATATTATATAATATATATATAATATATATATAGTATCTTATATATTAATATATATATATATATTGGTTGGTAAGGTTTTAAATGTCGGATGTCGAGTTCATGTCGGACGGCTAAAATTCATGTCGGATAGTGGAAATCGAGGATATATTGGGGACATGAAAAAAATATTAGATTACCATATCGGATGGTGTGCATATGTATAATATAAATATCATAAATAAAACATAAACATACTTAATAAATTCTATTATTTAAACATATAAGAAAGTAAATAACTTATGATGCTTAGAGTTGATGTTGAAACAAAGGTCAGAAAAAAGGAGTCCGATGTTGACAGTTAAGGAGAGAAAAGATCATCTGATATTGATGTCGAATAAACAACTCAGAGAAGAGACCGTTGTTGAAGGAGAGAGAGAAAGAGAAGATGAGCGACGGAAATAACTTCGGTCTTTTTTTCATTTTCCCTAACTGATCGGGTTTTGTCTTTGGAAGCAATATTAAAACAATCAAGAATTTAAACCCAAACTTGATTAGATAAGCATAACATAAAAATAAACCAGCTAATTTTTCAGATTGAAAAATCGACCGGCATAGCTGACATGTCCCTTGATATATCCGCCCGACATATCTGACATGTCCCCCGATATATCCGACATGAACCCTGAAAACGCAATACATATTGAAAAGCTTCATATCGTGTCGGTTGACACCTAAATCCGACATGTCAACCGACATTTAAAATACTGTCGGTTGGATATGTTGTAGGAAGGTTATCTATATTAGGGTTGTTCCCGCTCTAATAATCATTCTTTTATATTTTATATCAATCGTATTTGTGTAATGGGCTAATGGAGGTAAAATAATGTAGTTAATACACCTATAATGTTCTTGTTTCATGTGGTACTTGAAAAGTATGTGCTTTCTCTAGACAAGTTTATGTTCTTTCATGTTGGTAGTCATTTGTACACGTGTATGTTTAAGATTACATACAAGTAGCAGCACATCATAGAGAAAGCAAGGTATAGATGAGAAAATATTGTTCTTATGATAAATACCATAACGATTAATACATATACTAGTTAATGCTTGTTGGGCTTTATGTCATTTGAATCATAAAATAGTATATGATGACATTTATGTACATGATAATATTTGGTTAATTCATGAATTCTAGATAGATGAGGTTCCAGGGATGGAATGCTCTATGGTGCATTGCACATGTATAGGATGGAAATGAATGAGTCGAATGTATGGGATGGCTATGAACCACGTATGCTATGTGACAAAGATGAGAGATCTAGATGTATATAACAGGCTTGAAGTTTTGGATTTGTGTGCACAAATGATGTTACCAGGAGTTTAAGGCAAGCCATGTATATCGAGGAGCCAGTCGTTAACTTGGTACTGTATACATATCGAACTTGGTACTGCGTACATATTGCTGAGGAAAAAAGTAATATATGTGTCACAATTGACTGGTTACCTTGAATTAATGATAGGATACTACCGATGGATGCATATATTGTGGTAATGTGCGGAGTTTAGGGATATTTAGTGTATATGTTTACCAGTGGGGGATGGGTGTGGTTAATTCTTTTTTTCTTTCTTTTTTGGGGGGGAGGGGTGTGGGGGGTTGGAGTAGGGATGGCTAAATGAGTTGTTTGTAATTGTATGTGGTTGTATGTGTTATCTTAGTGTGGATAAGGTGTACAAATAAATAGACACATACATGCAAGAGGTATATGTATATGGATATGAGGCAAGATTATGAATATATAAATCTCGAAATTAAATTAACTGTATTGAAGGAAAAGGTGGACACAGTGTTTTAGAAAACACTGGGCCCTTTGGGCACTGGACTTAGCGCCTAAGTGCAGTGGCTTTTTTTTACGCTTTACTTTTCTTTTTATTTTATTTTTCCACAATGGAAGGTGTGTGAAAAGACTAGGAGAAGAGGAGAGAGACAAAGAAAGAAAGATGAAAGGGAAAGGAAGATCATGTAGGTGATAAATTCAACATTGTCGAAAGAAAATTATATATATATATATGAGAAATATGGGTATGCTTGGTACCAAGCACAAATTTTATGCTTGGTAGTGATGTGTCACATCCTCATCCACTCCCTACCCATGTGAATGTGGTCCCAAATTTGAATGAGTGGAGGGGGATGAGACACCTCACTACCAAGCACAACTTTTTGTGCTTGGTACCAAGCATACCCATATTCCTCTCTCT